TCTTCAGTCATTTATTTCAATTTTTCAACTCCATTCTATACTTATTATCTCCAATTACTTACTTCTACCACTGATCTTCTTATCTTACTGGAATAACACACACTCATTGTATGCAAGGGATGCAGCAAAGATTTCCAATTTCCAATTAATCTTCTGTGTCGCTGTGTGTCCTTGAAAATGTTTGGAATGAGATATGCGACAATGATGACTTTTGTCTAAATTTACATATTCTTTCGAATTCATGAACTTCTCACTTGACTTTCATAACTTTTTTATATAATTGTAGAAAAATTGTATAAGTTTACTGTGATTTTTAATTTAATTTGACTATTAAGGTATAGTTTTGTAATCTAAAATATCTTTCGCTATGTAAGAATTCATTTTCATATCATTCATCGATTAATAACTTTATAATTTTTACATGCTGTATCAGGTTATTAAAGAAAGCAGTTCACCCCTTCTGGCACCATTAACTGCAATAACTTGTAATAACTTACGCAGTGAACAAAATTTAACTAAGTGTAATGATGATCCTTGATTTCAACTGTGTTAGTAATGATGATGACGGTGGCTAGTCTCTTAATCATTTTTAATTTTTTGAAAATACAAAATTTAAATTTACGGAACTGCTATGTAATGGAAATAATACTTGTATGTTACGTATACTTACATCGAATACTTATATCAAAAGTCATTTTTCACTTCGCTTATTTCTTCAACTTATAATTCTTTGTTTTTTTTTTTTTCAACAGCCAACCTCATTGTAATTCTAAGCTATTTCTTCTTAGTAGCACAATTCATTAAAGTCATCGTTCACTAGGAAAAATGATAAATTAAAAATGTTGTATCTTAGATGGATGCACACTGTTACATGTATATATTTATGTGATCATATAATAATGAAAATTTTTTGTTGCATTATCAGATTGGAATTGTAAACTAACCAAAAATTTTAGATGACATATCATTCAGATAGGAAATAATAAAATGGCATATATTTTTGTATCCATTAAAATAAGTGAATCAATTAATTTCATAGAATGGAAATGGAAATGAGACATACAGGAAGATAATAATGTGTCACCTCATGAAAAAATAACAACTTTATGACAATCATTTTTTTTTTTTTTTATTCTTTTCTTTTGCAATCATTTTAGCATATAAATTAATATAAAACTGAATGTGCAGTACTGCATTCACGAATAATTTTACATTTCTAACTAATATCACTCACATTTTTTTCTTCAATTTTAAAATTGTGCAATGATGAAGGAATATTCTCATGCAGTCATTTGAGCACATAAATTTAAACAAAAAAAAAAAGAGGAAAACTCTCTTTATAAAACTATTCACGCGGAACTTTGCTGTATGCCGTGTTGTATTTCGCGGTTGGGAAGGATTGTGTGATCAGGTAATAACGGGTTGGACATTATTAATAAGTGGGGAGAGAAGAGGAAAATTATCTGCTGGATTAAATTAAACGATTGGATAATGGGCACTCATTAAGGATTTCACATTAATGAATTATTGGACTTCCGAAATATGGTCCTTGTTTAAATTCATTTGGTAGATGGGAATGTAAAAAGGAATGAAAAAGAGAGATTAAAGGAGGAAATATTAAAGATTGCAATAACTTGTTTCATACAATTATTAGAGTATATTTTCATGTTTGTTGTTTCTTTCAATTTCCTTTTTCTCAACTTAACTATTCTCAAGTGATAAAAAGTCCAGGAATCTTATTGGATAAGTCATAAATGACTATTTAAATTGTTTTATTATTGACTTTGCAGAAAGAAATTTCATAGAAACTTTTAACTTGTTGCTAAAAAGGATGTAAAATGTTGACCTTAAAAGTAAATGATTTTTGTAAGTGAATAAAATTGGTTTTCTCATTGAATATGTAAGTGACCTATTTATTATGGTTTACCTCTTCTCTTACATAAAGAAATCTTATTTTTTATACAGATTCAGAAAATAAATCCGCGGAAAAGGAGAAGAGGAGAGGTCAACCGTTATGATCAAAACAATTTATTATGGATCTATCACATTGGTTAGGATCAATAAAAGTATCCTCTCGTTCCCTTATCACCTCTTCAAGTTAGCAATAAAATATCAAACTACCATACTTATTCTAAAGCACTCATTGAAGATACTCGTTGCTCTACAACCACTGCTAAAAACCTCTGAAACAAATATCTAGCGCCCCGCACTGTTTAACTCTTGCAATGAACTGTTTAGGAGGATTTATTGAGATTTTATACTCTTAAAGACCACTTTCCCGAAATATCGGTCCTTCTGCTTGGCCGGATTTCCATTCTGGAAGTATCAGCTTAGTGAAGAAATCGGATTATTAAAATTATTTCTGCAGTAAGCACAGACTCTCAATGCAATGGATTAAATATCTTAGCTGATAAAATCAAAAGAAGTTAAATGAGTCAAACAAATATTTCTGTTGATATGGTCGGTTGTGGTTAGCATGATTCACTCACTAGTTGTCTGGACTGAGATTCGAGATTTCATCAAGAGTTAGTCAAGTAGATGAGAAATGAAAAGTGGAAAAAGATGATAAGAAAGAGAAAGAGCAGTTATAAAAAAAGCAGAGAGGAAAGATGAGAAGAATGTTGAAGAATTATCAGCAAGATTACACACGCCGCATCCGGTAGACAACATGCTTTATCAGCTTTCTTTGTTATCTTTCTCATTTTATTATCATTCTTATCATTAAAAGAACTTACCTATTCTTTAACGCTAAACTAGCATAACCCTGAATATCTTTTGTAAATAATATTAATAACAATAGCAATTAATAGTAAATAATAAAATAATAAAATAATAATAATGGCAATATTACTGCTACTAATAATAATGATAATAAGTATCAATAATAATAATGGTATTAATAATAATAATAATAATAGTAATAACAATAATAATAAATATCAATAATGATAATAATAATGATAGCAATAATAATAAGTGTCTATAATAATAATTATTATTATTATTATAATAACAATAATTAATAATAACAACAATAATAATAACAATATGTAATAATAATAATATTAATAACAATATATAATAATAACAATATTAATAAGTATCAATAATAATTGTTATTATTATGGTAATGATAATAATAATAATAATATAGTAATAATAATAATAATAAGTATCAAGTGATAAATAATCATATTATTGCTACTGTCTAAATTAATGATAGGATGTATGCGCTTAGCAACTTGTCACATTAATAATGATAGAATACTTAGCAATTATCATTATCATCAGCTATCATCTACTTAATAATTTATTCTTGTGTTCTTTGGAACGTAAACAATCAATAAATTACCACATGACAAGACAAGCATATGCAGGCCACAATAATTGTCCTCATTATCGGTGAATTATGGCTTTACTGATTCAAATAATATTTATTGGAGGTAATGAATACCTAACATACCTTTTTCACTTTTTCTTCTTTCTCTCTTCACTCCTTCAGCTTTCTTTTCTCTCTACATTTCATTATCTGGTTGGTCAAGTTGAATGTGTCGGCTTGTGTTGCTTTTGTCAGAACTTCAAAACTTCTACTTTCATTTAATTCCTACTTCATTCTATACCACAAAAAAAAAAAAAAAGAAAAAAAAAATCCCAGACTCATCTTCTAAGCATAATTTGCCGTTCTTATTTGTCACTTTGCTTTTGCTACATATGCTCTTCCATATATTTTTCTAAGTTATTGTTTTTTCCCCACATAGACTCATTTGTTATTACCTGAAATTGCATTTGCTACTGCATTACATCACGTAACAATGATACGTACAATTTGCAGTGCAGAAAACATAGCAAAGAAAAAAGAAAAAAAAACATGGCAATTATAACTTAAGTGAAATGACAAAAAAAAAGTAATACCTATGTGATATTTGTTTGCAAAATGATACTTATGTTATTACCTTTATAATAATTTTATAATAATTTTTGATAGCGTTATTCAAAAAGGTATTGTTGCTAAACGTTATTGCTTTTGGCATAATTCCTTAGGTATTTGAAGTGTAGGAAATTCAACTAATATATCTTTTAGAAAATTTTTAAAGCGCTTTTGATGAATAATAAGTTTATTATTCTGTTTGCAATAGCTAGTTGTCTTTCTCGCAATCATATTTTTGAATTCATTTGAACAAAGAGTTTATCTGGCTACTTGAGAAATGTTGTGTACAAATATAGCCTATATATGCATATGTATTTATGAATGTATAGAGAACTTCAATTTCAATGCTCAAAATGGATGCATACCTGAGAATTTATTCAGGATATTTTGTTAGCCTATATAAGTTCATTTTTCTTGAAATCATTTCTCGGCATTATCCGTAATTAATGCCATGAGCAATAATATTAAGAACTTAATTTAGCTTTATGTGACAATAAAAAGGACAAATATAGCAGGATTTATTGCAGATTGTTATGATCTATCTTATAAACAAGAGACTAAAACTTTATTGTATATGTTATTGTATTAACTTAAATATAATCGTTAATGGAATAATATTATTTTGTTATTTTCATATTAACAGCTATTTTTATTCGGTTCATTTTGAAATATTCAACAAAAATATAAACATTGAATAATGAAGTTTAATAATTTCTATTTGGTTTGTTTATCATTAAATTTGATCCTCAGCGCTGTCTAACCATCTTCAGGAAAGAAATTCAACAATAAATGTATCACCGATATTTAGGCGTGCATATTCATTCATATTAGTAAGCTGCTAAGCTTAATCGCCACTTGGCTTTCACTGATTCTCTGTTGTCAACTGTGCTGATTGTTATTGGGCACTAATGATTTCTAAAGTGGAATTTCAACTTTGAGCCAATAAATAAAATTTTACTTAGTTCCAACTGTAAATTTCAAGAAGTTCTAAGTACTGCTCAGTTGGAAATAAACAATTAGACGAAAACTTCTATCGCTTAAATTTCCTGAAATTCTTTCGGTAAGTCAAAAAATGTCATCAAACTCAAAAGGGATCACCAGAAGTGAAGCACTGGATGATAGTAATCAGTTGGATCATTCTCGACATAATCTATACGACAAGAAGATAACAATGATGCGAAGTTGTTCTGAGGTGACACCACGAGTAGATTATTATTCCTCGTGGCCCGGTCAGTTGGCGCATTCTAGATCAGGCGCTTCAAGCGAAATGCCGCTTATTGGTGAATGTCGCTACTGTGATCAGAGCTGTCGCTGTTCTTGCTGTCCATGCTGTGATCATCTTATCATCATTTATGCACCGGTCTGTTCAAATTTCCAAAACAATAATAAAACAAAAAAAAAAGAAAAAACTTGAAGTCGATTCTTGGAGTTTTCATCTTTTATGTCTTTATTTTCAGATATTGTTTTTTTTTTTTTTTTTTGGATGTTATTTTTTTATTTCTTATGTTTTCATATTTTTTATTATTCTTTTCCTTATGACATTGCCTATGCACAGAATATTATTTTTTTTATCATTTTCTTAAGCTAAAATTTTAAAATGGACTAAAATCAATCATTGCAAGAACTGAAGCTAAAATTCATAAAAATTTCAAAAAAAAGAAAAATTTAGCTAGAAAATAAATAAAATGCCTTTTTAATCAAATGTTGTTTTTGTCAAAGAGTTCGCGAGATCATATAGCGGTCAAATAAGAATGAAGTCTAAGAGGGACAGAATTATACTTCATATTTTATAAAACCTAAAGTTGCAACTGATCTAATTCAAATAAAACTTTTCAAAAATTAGGTATCACTATTCTTTTTCTGTTCCATTTTTTGATATGACAGTGTAAGAAAGAGTTAAATGCATTTTCATTTGTAGAAGCGCTCCCGCAAAGAGAGATATTTTATGAACTAATGCATTCTCGAGCTTACGGCTTATGAATTTCAATTAATGCGTGGAAATTTTTGCTTCAAAACTTTTAAAAATGGAAAATATAAATATTGGAGAAGAGAATTCAATAACTGATGGATTAACTCTAGCTATCACAGCTTAAGTTCAGTTTAGTAATTAGAATTTCATTTAAGATTTTTTGTGTTTAAAAATGAAACCTGAAATTGAAGGCTGATATATTCTAGTTTATTTTTTCCGCTGTTCTTTTACTTTATTTTTATTCTGACTACAACATAAATCCATTTTGGATATAAACTATTAGTTAATAATGAATGATATGTAATATCTAAAGTGCAATATCTTAAATTTTAGCTGATAGAATGAGAAATTATTTAAGTGAAGTATATTTTAATTAATTTACTTGAAACTATATGAAATTTAAACTATTATGAATTTCTTTATATATCCAAATATAAAGTTTTTTAATCCATTTTTTCTTTCAATTTTTGAAATTATCTTATGATAATGGAAATCATAGTGAAATCAACAACAAGTATTAAAACAAAGATTACACCTTTACCTTCTATTTACAGCATTTACTATTGACCATTACATTCCTGTAATTAATTCATGGCGAATTTGCACCTATCTCATTCTCTATTCATTACAAAATGTCGAGAAAATGAAATGAAATGAATGTGACACATTAAGCTCTGTTTAAAGTTAACTTTCATAAAAGAAAAAAGTTTATTGAAAAAAATTTTTTTTCAAATATTCAATACATATATTTATATTAATATATGAAAAAAGTCCAATAAATGAATGAGTGACAAAAAAAAAGCAAAACTAAAACAGTAAAAATTGAATTTTTAAAGGACTAAATGGAATGAAATGATATCATTGCAACAGCTACGGGAAATTTTGAGAAGGATTAAAATATGATAAAAAGAAAGAGAGCAATCATCCTTATAACTTTTTCAAATCGATATACATACATATATATATAAAATTTTTATCATTTCTTTTTCGTAATCTTCATTCTCTGCCCTTTACCTGTCTTTTGATTAGGATTTAAAATGTTGAAATAGTTAGATATATTGCGAGTGATTAAAACAAATTCATTAATTGTAATTTGCTTTTAATTTAACGAATTAATTTTAAATCGTGAGATGTTGAGAGAGAGTTTCTCTGAGTGCAGTAGCACATCACGATTGCCTCGTGCACTTTGCATACCACAACTCTTCTTGCATCTTGCATATCACGATTCTGCCTGCATCTTGCGTGCCATAACATTTCTTGCATATAGCATTCTGTTTGCAGTGCTTCTTGCTAAAAATTTTCTAACTTGCTAAAATTCCACTCTTGCATTGTGATCGTTTCTCTATGTTAAATGTTTTCTTCATTATCATTGCATTTGAAATAATCATTCAAAAGTTGACGTATTTAATGATTTTAGATCATTCTTCGTTACTTAGTTAATTAATTGGAGCTAAAACATGGAATGTTTATTTTTAAAGCTAAAAAATTTTAAATTTTTTTTTAAAAGTTCAAGAACTTTTTTCTTTTTTTTTGTTTTTCTGTATATGAAAAATGATTTTTTTAAAGTCTTATTTTTCATCTTTCATAGTTTAAATTGTCCTGTCACTGTGCAAAATATTCATTCAGATCTTTTGTTTGACAAATAATTTTTTTTTTTTTTGGCCAAGATAGATTGATTTTAAGTTTCACAGGGCAATATTGAACAGTTGTACAAAGTAGACTTTGCTGAGGACAAACATATGGAATCCGAAATTTGGACAGATGTCAACGATGTTCATGAGTTGTAAATAATAAATCCGAAAAATAAATGCATTAATTCCGTTTAATGGAGGGATAAAGTAATTCCAAAGCCTGAATCAATGCTTCTATGTAAGAATGTTAGAGCCGGATATGATTTATTAGCTGGCCGGAAAAAAGAAATTGATGTAGCATGAAGAAAGTGATGCTAGCAGAAACGATTGTAGAAATGATTACGTCATTAATCATTAATCATTAATCATTAATCACTAATCACTAATCATTAATCAATTGTTATGTAATAGTTTTGCATTTTTAACTTTTCTTGATAGTTCCGCCACTTTTTTTCCCATCTCATCGTTTGAAATAACCATAATAACTTAAAAGAATTCTTAAAAGTTGCAAAAAAAAAAACTTTAAAATCTTTGTTGTTACTTCTAGAAAATATTGATAGGTGATCGGATTCTAAGCTGTTCGTAAAAATAAGAAAGGATTAGTTAAATATACTGTGTAATGAAAAGAGTAAAATGTAACTTTCTCGTTTGAATTTTTATTCAAATTTAGGAAATAACCTATCATAGATCAAAGAATGATATCTCTTTTCGGGTATTTGAGCAGCTAATTATTTTATTTACTTCATGCATTATTCGTAATAGTTTTATCTAATAATAAGATCGATATTATTATCTTCACATATACATTGTAAAAAGTTATTTACTTAATATTATAGTTTAATTAATTAATTTTATTTAACTTTATAATTTGCTTATTCGAATTTTAGGAGTTGATTGTATTTTACTTCATTAGTTGATAATAAAACTCACTTATCATGTATAATAAAAAGAATTTGTACTGTAATACATATATTCTGAAACACTGACTTTATTTAAACTTATCATTTCTTTTTTTTTTCAAGCAATCAATCAATGTTTAAATAATCAAGAAAACAAGTTGCTTTTTTTTTCCATTTTATTCTTTCAATTTCTTTATTCATTTTTCACATTAATGAAAGTAATTGAACTAGATTAATTAATGATAAACTTTTAATACGAACTCTGTGCTCCCATTTTATCAGCAAATGAATAGTTATCAGATAGCTTAAGATTTCATGAACTGCTAGAACTGCTAAGTAAAAGCGCAAAGTGTATTACAAATTAGACAACAGGTGTGTTCCATCGATTGCATTTGTCTGTAATCCAAATTGATATTTAAATGAAATTGATTTCCGTTAAAATCTTTTCACAGTTATCTCCAACATGATGTTAGTTTCACTGAGTGTAGCAAAGTTTAATCACAAAATAGTGATAAGCCATCAGTTACACTTCTAAATTATCAATCACACTTCTGAAAAGACTTTTTTTTTTAATTTAACATCTTTTTTTCATTGCTCACAAGTGATATTTTTTTATATTTATGAATTTCATTTTTAAACTATAACATTTGCATTTTTTTTTCTTTTCCAAATAGTATAAACATTCTGGAAAAATATTTTTAATTCATTCATTCAAATATTTATTTACGTTTAATTGAATTACTCATATTGTCGTCATTCATCTCTGAAATTTCCATTTGTGTTTTTTTCATACTATTCAAGCCGTAAATATTCGTTGTTTGCAATAAGTAGTTGAAAAATCTTTGAACTCTTTTCCATTGTTGATAATAAACAATCATAGCAAATTTATTTATTTATTTTTATAGTTGATTTTTTTGAAATTTGATGAAAATATTTTTTTAATGAGGTAGAATTTTTTTTTTTCACAAGTTTTTGACACAAACAAAATGCCAAGAAATTAAAGTTATGATTCTTAGCATTTTTTATGAATTACAAATATTAATTTTTAGTCTTCAAAGCCACGTCTTTCAAGTATCACATTCTCAACGGTAACAAGTGCTACCGGACTTCCGACAATTGCTGCTGAACCTTCCAGGCCACGATCAAGCAGGTTAGTCAGAAATTTTGCTGCTTGTGAAAAGTTTCTTAAATTTTTTGTTCCTAAATAAATTTTCCTTTTTTGATATTAGTGAGCTTTACTAGTTAGATGAATCATTTGCTTAAGTTAAGTTCCAGTTTAAGTTAGAAAAAGTTAAAGCTACAATTTCTTCTCTTAATCAATTGAAATTGTTTATATGATTTAATACAAATTTGGAACCATTAATAATACAGTCTTAAAATAAACATCTTTTTGTATAAACAAAATCAAATTTTACAGCTACTGGAAGCAACCGGATCGTGAAGGCTGTAAAAGTGGAACTAATCCGGAGAATAAGCATTACCTTCAGCCACAAACATCCAGTACTCCCATAACTGATACTAGTACATTAAGCGGTATTATTTTCATTTTGTCTTTTAAGATTTTCGTTAATTTAAATAATTACTTTTGTCTTAAGGAAAAAAATTTTTTTTTTAATTTTAAATAATTACTTTTTTGAACGGATTCATTTATAGATGAAGGAAAGCAAAAGGAGGACACTGTGTTGACTAAAATCTCCAAAAGTAGTTCAGGTACACAGGATGATGAGGATGATGTGAATATTGTGGCCTGCACTAGGTATTTCTACAGCATTTAATTTAATCATCAAAAATTTTACATTCACAAAATGAGACTTTGAGCTGTTGCACATTTTTGTTATAATATGGAGTGAAACTATAATGTTAAAGTTTGATTTTAAAAATTTTCAAATTGTAGTTAGATAGTACGGTTTAAAATTTAGATTTTCTTTTTTTGAGTATCAAAAACAGAAAGTATTTTACAGTTTGGAACGAATTGAGGAATCTGTGATACGTACATCAGATGGTACAAATTATAGTTGTAAGGAATTAAATTCAGATGATGAATTGGCTAGGATTGCCGAATGGGGCTTTCCTATTTTCCGTTTTGCTGAACGTTATCCAACAACAACACTTAGCAGGGTATGTGTTTATTTTTTTTTTAACAAAGTTTAAATTTGTCTTGGAAAGTTGTCAAATAACTTTAACAATATGAAATTTAAGGAGTTTGAACTTGAATAGTTTTTTTTTTTTTTAATAAATAAAATTCGATCACAAATTCTCTCTGTTCTTTCAGCTATTTGTAAAGCATACAAATTTATTCATTCATATCATGAAATTATAATATTTTATGTTGTTATTTTTGTTTCAGATAGCTTATTCAATATTCCGTGAACATGGTCTGTTCCGGATTTTCAAGTTGTCACCAAATAAATTTTTTAATTTCTTTCATTCATTGGAATGCGGGTATTGGGACATTCCTTGTAAGCATTTCTAATATACCATTACTGATAAAACAATTTTATAATATTTGTTTTTACAAATCATTGATTGATTTCCAACTATAGTGCTATTAAATGATAATAAACTTGCAGATCACAATCGTATACATGCAGCGGACGTGTTACACGGGTGTTATTACTTGACATGTCATCCAGTTTGTGCATTTCTCGGTACACCAACTAATAGTCCTCCTGAATCTTCGTTATCTATTTCTGATAACTCACCATTACCTCTCTCAAGCAGCATGAGTACACTTGAAGTATGTGCTGTAAAATTTTGCAAAATAATTCATTTTGATTTTTTTCAGTAAATTGAAACTATTAGCACAATTCTCGATAAATTCTCGGTATTCGACAAATATTTCAAAAACTATATAAATTATTATTATTATTATTATTATTGTAATTCTAAAAATTTTCTCAATAATATTGAATCTTATCAATTGCATAAATTTACTTTTGTTCAAATGTTAGCTTCAAAAGAGAATAATTCTTAGATATTTGTATATAATATCTCTTAGCAGTATCTATCTATGTATTTTTTTGAAATATGATAATAAATTCTATCGATGTATACATCATATATGTACAATAATAACTCAAAACGTAAAGTATTTTACTTCAATTTTGTTAAAATTAAAATATTTAATAAAATAATAATTTTTTTTTTCTAATTTAAAACTATAATTGTTTTCTTCTAGCTTATGGCTTTATTCACCGCGGCAGCAATGCATGATTATGATCATCCGGGACGTACAAATGCATTTCTTGTTGCAGCCGAAGATAAAAAAGTTTGTCTTAATCCCTTCAATTCTAGAAATTGTAATAATAAATTTAAAAAAAAAAAACATTTCTTTAGTTAGAAAATGACCCTGTGCATTCTTCACATTTTAATCTTATCAGTTACGGAAAAATTTCTGATTATATATCAGATTAATTAATTAACGAAGTTCAGACATTTTCGATTTTCTAATTGCTTTATCTCACAGAAGAATCATTTATGCATTTTCTTTGTTTTGTTTGCATATTATTTTTCTGTCAACATTCTGTTTTTAAATCAAACTGCTTTTGCTAATTAAGACGTAAACAAGTTATTAATATGAAATTAATCCAATTTAACATTCATTTGCATCAATTAACTGTTTATTTTATTTGCAAATAGGATTATTTTATTGCGCAAAAATAATATTTTTTTCCAAATAAAAAAATTACCAGTAGAAATAAAATTAAAATTAATGAATTAAATGTGGAAAAATCCAAGGTAATCAGTCTTTGTACAATTTTAACAGTTTTATAAATTTTCACATGGATACAATACAATAGAAAAACTAATAATTGTAAAGTGATGATGAATAATTAAATGGATACTTTAATTAATGGAATTTTTTTGCGCCTTATTATTTCTCTTAATCTTTGATTCGAATATGAGTTGGGCCTCGTAAATTACCTCAGTTTAGAATAAAAAAAATTAAGATCAATTTAGTTAAGATCAATTTTAGTAGATAATTTCTTAGATATCTGGTAGATAATCTATTAACATTACGAAAAGTACTTTTTCCCAAATTAAATGAGGAAGATGAAAAATTTAAAAAAAAAAAATGAAATGTTAATTTTTTTGTATTACAGTTTGAATGAGATGAAATCAAAAGTTATAATTAAAATCAGTATGTTTTAGGCTATTTTGTACAATGATCGGTCAGTATTAGAAAATCATCATGCCGCTGAATCATGGCGTCTTTTATCGAAATCAGAAAATTCATTTATTGAAACTTTAGATGCAGCTGAAACGAAACGTTTTCGGTAAATTATTAATTTGGTGATTATTTGTGTTTTAAAATTATCATATAATTAACTGATAATTTTATATGTTAAATTTTGTGAAACTCACACAAAATTGCTTGTAATGAATCATTTAATAATTCAATCAAATTGTATTTAGTTATTTATCTATGCTGAAAATACTTTACTTTAATGATTGCTATTGTTAAGAGATGGATATACTGCTAACTGTTAAAAATCAGTGATAACCTTTGACATTTTCCTCTTACAGATATCTTGTGTTGGAATATATCCTTGCCACAGATCTCAAACTACATTTCGATATCATAATGCAATTTAATGAAAAAGCATCAGATATGGATCTTAGTAACGAATCACATCGTGTGATCATTTCACAAATGCTCATTAAATTTGCTGATATCAATAGTCCTTCTAAGCCATACCCACTTCATCGTCAATGGACTGATCGCATTTGTGAAGAATTTTATGGCCAGGTATGCACTTGAAATTGATAAAATTGATCCAATGCTCATATTCTGTCATTTAATGAAAAATAATTTTGATTAATCATGCATAAATTAAATTACTAACTGATAGCAAAGTGTTTAAATTAAGTCTTAATTTCGGTTAATTTTTAGAGTTTTTATCAGAGTTCATTTAAAGATTCTCTCATCCCATTTCAAGTTTTTCTTTTTTTTTTTTTTTTTGATAGATTATAAAATCTTAAATTTCTCCTAGGGTGATGAAGAGAAAAGACGTGGTATGGCAGTGTCACCATATATGGATCGAGATGATCCGGCAGTTGCCAAATTGCAGGACTCATTCATTTCTCATATTGTTAATCCATTAGCTGTTGCATTGAATGAAGCTGGTTTGTTGCCAATTTTACCAGGTTTGGAAGAACCTGAATTAATCATTAACCTGAAACATAATCATCAGAAATGGCTCAATGAACTTGAAGGGAAAATGACTTCCACAAAAGTTATGGAATCAGGCAGTACTACTACTACTACTACTACTACAACTACAACTAATGCTATCACTCAGCCAACTTCATTATCACTCAAAACAACTAATCATGTTATCGTCGAAGAGGTTCACTGCTTGTTATTGTAAAATATTTCAAATCAAATCATTTTACTCCTCTTCTTCTGTTTCTCTCTCATTGTTATCATCCTATTCTATCTATTCCTTATCACAAATATTACAGTAAGCAATATATGATAAGTTTTTTTTTAAAGTTAATTAATTATTATTTGCATAATTTGTTGAATAATGAATTTATTTTATTAAATTAATATTTGAATTTTATCTTGAAAGATTTGAATGTTTTAAATTAATATTTGAATAATATTTGAATTAGCATTTGAATTAAATGATGAATCTGTTTTAATTAATTTTCATTTTCTTTTAATCTAAATTTTTTCAGAATAGTAATGAAGAACAAAACAGCGAATCGTGTAATAAAAATTGTGAAGATGCAAACGGATATTCAAGTAAACATATCCAGGTAGTTTTTTTTTTTTTTTTTTTTCACTTCTGTGACAATTGTTTTTCTCAATTAAACCATTAAATTAATTAATTTCGTATAATTAACTTATGAAGTTATAGAAAATTTTTAAAAATTTGTACTCTATTTTTGATCATTGTCATTGTTTGAAGTACTGCACCTAATATCCATCTGAAAGATCAACAATTAAATTTTTTTTAAAAAAAATTCAAAAATTAAACATTTTCAGTGATATTATTTTCATGACGATTGGTTGGAAGCAGCTAGTACATACTGATATTTTCCATTATATGTTTTGTCCTCAAATAAATTTTGCTTTCTCATATGCTGATTTTATTTTTTGGAAATAATTTCTTCTTTCAAATAATTCCTTTCAACACTAATTTAAATTTTGTTTTTCTTTTTCAAATTTTATTTCTTTTCTTTCATTACCAAAATCAGTGGAGAATTTCTTCGTGATAAATGATAAGGATTAAAGATAATCTTTTTTTGTTTTGTTAAATATTATTTGATGGAATTGTAATAAGTAACATTGATATTAAACAAGGAATTAATTCAAAATGTGATTTAAAATATATTCGGTTGATTCCCTGCTTTTTTTTTTTTTTTTTTTTTTACCAAATAACAAAATCATTGATACAGAATTAGATCTTTTGTAAATTGCTCCAAACTTTTGCGGAATAATAAATACAAAACTTTGAAATCTTTTATTTCAAAAATTATACAAGTTTCAAAAATCAAAAATGTTGAAAAACAAAAAATTTTACAACTAAAAGCAATGTTGATTGGAAGATTTGAACATTTTCAATGCTTGCAATTAATAAAATCCAATTATATGTTAAAAAATGAATCAAAAATGATTAAATAATATTAGCGAAAAGATAAATATGTTTTTGTTTACGTTTGGATCATTTTTAATGCATATGGTAATAAATGCTTTGAATAATAAACAGAAATAAATTTTGAATGAGAAAATTAGGAATGGGATTGTTAATATCTGTGATTTTATAATATTTCGTTTTTTTTTTTTCTTTTGTTTGTTTGTTTGTTTTAGTTTAATGTTGTGGACAGCTCTTGAGATTGAAACAGTATTTAAGTGATTTAATTATTTCTATTAAAGTAAACTAATTGAGAATCATTGTATTGTAAATTTCTTTGTCCACTTCTACTACCGCTTCAATGTTCATTTCTCATTTGTTATTTCCAAGGTACTTATGCTTCTCAGTGTCAGTCATTGATTGAAATGCTTTAAAAGTTTTACGAAACAAAAATTCTATTTTCTTTTGTATCAGTTTATTGTATCATTTGTTGATGGTTTAATATCAATGTGTTAATTTGTGGACTTTAATTTATATTAATGAAATATGTTCTATCTAATCAATCATCAGTTGCTTCTCTCTTTAAAATGAATTTGAATAAGTTTAAATCATTGTGGATTATCTCTGTGATAAGCTGTATTGCTTTCAGATAGATTTGTAATGCTAAGACTCAATCCAAGAAAGATATTATTGTCACAATTTGATTTTTTTTTTAATTTCACTATCAATTAATTCATTAAATTTTATTTTGAAATCTTGGAAAAAGGTATAGAAATGGACCAATTTATAATGTTTTTTCATTTTTTTTTTTGGTTGAATATTCTGTCCTTTTATATATGCAATTTCTTAACATACTTTGCTGCATCTTTTTTTTTTTTGCCCTTTTAATTGAATTGTTTTACCAATAATTTTTACTTTTTTTTTTCGTCGTGAAGTTTCTATGATGAAATAAATAAATCTTATGAAATTCTGTTAGATTTTTTGGCGAAGGAAATTTCAAAAATCAAAAAAAAAGTAACAAAAGTTTCAAGGCTACGTTTTTCAATCATATTATAAGACAGTATTTCGGTCATTTTTGAAAATATTCTAAAGTGTTGAAGTTCAATATATCTCTCACAATAGCAGAAGTTAAAAAAATAGAGAAATATTTTTGAACAGAATATTAGCGCTGCCATTACATGTACCAACGTACGTGAACCAGCAACCAACGTTGTTGGTTCACGTACGCCAAGATCATATAGGTCTCAGGTCTCTAATCACATCTACATGATTGAACTCTTTTATTCTTGATAGCAAATTTTTTTCCTTTAGATTACTTGAAAACAATTTAATAAACTAAAATTGAACTGTCAAAATAAGCAGTGATATGTCGTAATGAAAAAAAGAAAACAGTAATTTGTGTTTTACTTTATGTTGTTTTAACAACCTAAGCTAACAAAAAAAAAAAAAAACACGTAAAAACAAAACTGATAAGCATCGGCGCTGCGTTGAGTTTCTATTGACGGTTATAAAAATTGCCGTATTGCTTGCAATACCTGTAATGGCATTGTTTTTTTTTTTCAATAGAAACAATTTCATCATAAGTAAAGAAATGTCAATCCTTACAATATCACAGATCCTCGCTTGTTCTACACTCCTGACTTTATGGTGTTTCGTTGGAGTTGAATTGGCAACTTTTATTCTTCTGAAATAGAACAATTTGAAAAAAAAAAAAAATAGAAATAGAACAAGAACCTTTTTAGATCACTTAAAGATTATTTAAGATTATTTAAAAATTTGCTGAATGGTGAATGGCATATCTCGAGAATGAATGACTCAAAACATTCTAACAAATTTGAACAAAACAGTGAATAAGACATGAAACGATATTGAGTCCCAGCAAGATTTCGAACTTACGAACTGAGTTCCATTCTGATGTGAAAGTTTTATTCGCGGATGCATGCAAATATCGTACTGCAGCACATGCATGATTAACCTTTAATAAAGTTGATTAACAGTCGATTAGTAGGTCACTTACTTACCCACTTCATTCAATAGAACAGGTCACTTACTTACCCACTTCATTCAATAGAACAGGTCACTTACTTACCCACTTCATTCAATAGAACAGGTCACTTACTTACCCACTTCATTCAATAGAACAGGTCACTTACTTACCCACTTCATTCAATAGAACAGGTCACTTACTTGCCCATTTCATTCAACAGACCATAACATTCCTTCCTGCTTTCTATATTACGTCATTACACTGCAAGAAATGATTAAAAACGTACGTGAAATCTGACTGAGACTTTCTCAACGGTTATCTGTGACAGTATAAATCCGTAAGTCAACGAACACCCACGTCACGTGTGAATCAAGCATAACGCACTCGTTTCACCCTCCCATATCTCTATCTTTTTCCTTTACTTCTTTCCGTATGCACATCTATCTATCTCTTCACACTTTCTGCATCTTGTCGAAGTGCTATTAAATCGATCGGGGAAGGATGAAGGGGCACAAAAGGGTAGGGCTATCGTTGCTACCCGAGACATTGGTTAGGCTGGGCGGTGATGTCATTTCTGCTATGAGTGACAGTCTGGCCAAGTTATCTCATTCAAAATTTGTTTTGTTTAAATGATTGTTAGTTATTTAAACTATCATTTCAATAGTTGTGCTTGGGATCAGCGAAACATTTAGTAGTATTGTTGTAGAATCATTTGTTATTATATAAAAAGTGAGTTTTCATCGAATAGTTGCGCAGTTTATAGCCATAATTTTAAAATTAATGTTTTTCGTCTTTTCAGAATTAAATAGAACTTAAGAAATTAATGTTTCACACCAAAAATTCTCATGCATTACTGATATTATAATAACTGATATAATAATTAAATTTGAAATGGATAATGTGGAATCAGAAGAAAGTAACGGAACGGATTCTCTCAGTATGCATTGATTCTGGAGATGATCGCCATTCTGAAATAGTTTGCATTACTTCTTCAAAAAAAAAAGTAGCGCTATACAATGGATTGAAACTGATAAGAAGTAACAACTGCGATTCTACTGTTAAGGCATGATAAGTTATCAGTAACTTAGAAATCTTATATCAATAAAGAATCATTGGTTTTTATTAATGAATCGTTTAATTGTGCCATATTTACAACTGCAAGTGGTGCTACTCAGCGTAGTAGGAGTAATCCGAGCTACCGAAGTAGATAATACTCGAGTGATTTCGATTGTGGAACAGTTTGAAGACGATGCTTTATGGGAATTTCACTCTAAGTCAGTACGACGTGCGCAGGTTTCGAAGAAAACTTGGGATGAATACGTAAAATATAAGGGTATATATAAATCAGTTATTAACTTATCTTTTTGGTTTTTTTTTTTGTTTTTTTTTTGCCAGATGGATATTCTGTGTGGTTATTTTGGACATTAAAATGAAACAGTTAAATAAGACATCTTTACGTTCAAAATGAGTTGACTTAGTGTGTAACCTTTACTACAGCTATATATTTAAGCAATTGTTGTCCGACAATCACTTATGATTTTTGCTTTTCTTTAGAACAAACATGTCGCTTGGAAGTCGAGAAAGATACAGAATCAAAAGCGAAAGGCTATCTGAGCTGGGAAGAAATGGCTTTCCACAAAAGTTTACGATTGAAGTAAGTTATAATGTTATTTTAACTATTGGAATTTAGCATAATGGACTTTGAAAAATATCTTGCTAACGCTTTATACAGATTTTGAACTATAGAATGTATATTTTGGCAGTGTATAATATAATTTTAGATTATTACCAAACTTGGCAGATGGTGACGCTTTATCATACGAAGATGCAGTCATGTTATCAAATGTAGATAGTCGCCTGCTTTCACCAGAACCGGAATCACTTTGCAAAATTGGCGTAATTGATGATAGCGATCAAAATGAAATTGCTGAGAAAAGCCGTTTCGAAGATACTTTGATAAGTCGGTAAGTACTTCATCCTGATTAGAATTACCATATTTTTCTTCTTGAAATTCATTATTTGAAAATCTCCATCTACAGTTCGTTATGTTCTTGATCCATTTTCAGTGTTTTTTTTTTCTCCAATATTCAGTGCATTGCAATTTAAAGTTTAAAGCTAAGACATTACTAGAGTTTTATTCCACTCTGAAAATAGGAAGGATGTTCCGAAGTCGTGTTAAGACATCTTGGAAGCACTCCAGGTTATCTATAGTTGTAGCAACTTCTCTCTATTTTATTCCGGTAATTTAATCGATACTGATTGCATCAAAAGACTGAACCCCGGTTATGCCCGGTTATGCTAATAGTCCTCATATTATTCACTGGATATTTTTGATTATTTCATGTGTCTTTGTCTTATTTATGGTACAAAATAGATTGAAATGAACTCATGACTTTTTTTCGTAAGTTTTGTTCTAGCAATGGTATT